GTGCGTTGCCTCAGCAGGAAAAGCACCTTTTAGAGACCGAGAGAGAACAATTAAGCATCAATTTTCCAGGGAGCTATGGACTTTTCTTCTTGTAGAGGCGAAGCAGGTTAACACAAGCTGGTTGAAGATGGTCAGAACCAAGTCCTCTGTTCACAGAAGGCTGGAGGGGCAGCAAATGGCACATCTACACGGTACTTTACAAAGGGTGCTGAGTCCCAGCTAGTAAGTCCTGCCAAGGGATGGGGAGTGTTAGCTTGTTCTCAGCATCACGGTAATGAAGTTGCGTTAATGAAACATGAAAAGATGTTTTTCAGCCACCTTGAAGAGGAAACAGAGAGAGTTCTCTTCTGCTGGCAAAGGCTGTATAGGCATCTCTAGAGCTGCCTCCTGAACTAGACACCCACACCAGTGCCGTGGGCATATCAGATGTCCAGAAGAGCCATAAGGTAACAAGTATTCTTCTTCATTATAGGAATTCATAGCAGAGAGACACACCAGAGAAATGCTTCAGAGTAACACAGTCCTGACTATGGTCCTCCTTTTCTCAAGCATAACTAGGTCACTACAGTTTACTTCATGAGCACATTTTCCTACCTCTGCTTTGTGTTGCCTGGCTGTCATCTCCGAGGTCGTCCTCTCCTCCATAGGTTCGAATGGGGGATCGGGCATAGGAATGCTTTTGGATAAGGCTCTCCACGCTTTCTCTGTGAAAGGAAACAAAATACTGTATCAATAACATCCTAAACAGCCTCCTAATTCACTCAGTTAAATACAATGAACATGTTGCCTTTTCCCTGTCCAGATCACAGCTTTCTCACACAGACTCTCCAAAATTACTTAACAAAAGGGTTACCTCATAGCATGTCCCTGGAAATGCCGAACTTGGCCTGCGGTGTTTTAACATTGCTGATCACGTGGTACTGCTTCTTCAGCAGACAAAGTAGAGTGAACGTCCCACTGCTTTTCCTGGATGTGGTCTCAGACAGGAAATATAAGACCAGCACTCTTCACAAATTTGAAAACGCAAGCTCGGGGGTTATTCGTGCTGAGTGACCAAGCTGGGTTCAAAGAGACACCTGTGGTCCAGCTCCTTTCAAACAAGCTTTCACATCACACCTGACCACCTCATCTGGCGCTCTCCCATTTTTTTGAAAGCAGGGGCGAGAGATGGATGTGTCCAGAGACAGCTCAGCTCTAACCATGCTCTCTCAGCATCAGAGTCAAGGCCAGTTCGTAGCAGGAAGTCTACAGATACTACCGATCTCGTGCCGCGTCTATTCTGGGAGGTTAGACGTGTCTGCCAAGCCCCTGCCTCACTGGTGGCACAAAGCACTGAAGTCACCCAAACAATTTTTAAATAGAAGGAAGGCATATCTGCACGATAAGCCATAGCAGTGTGTAAGGAAGATCCAACCTTACACGTTCCCAGCGTGTTTCCGTGTAAGTAGGTGGCGTTATACCAAAGATGAATATGACCTAGGCACATTTCCAAAATGGCTTTGACCTTCTGTTCCGTTTAAGAAATCTAGGTAGCGATAGCTGTTTAAATCTGCTGCTCGGTGAAGATTTTGTCTGAGTTTACCATTTGGCCATTCGTACACGCTAATGCCCTTCGCTCGGAGAGTGTGGCTGTTGCAGAAATTCCAAGGAAAAACATTTTCCAAGTAACACGATAAATCACAATGGCACATGTTTTCCTTTCCTACAGAAAGCCCATTATGGTCATTTTGTCCTTGGTCTATCACTGGCATCATTACTTATGCTAGTCTCCTTGGAAAAAAATAAATAAAAAGGGGATCTTATCAAAGTGATTTACTTGTGTCAGGATTGGAAGTGGACTGAAAGCAATGGCAGTTCCTACATAGAGGATGATATAATTGAATTACTGCCTTTTAAGTGATTGAAAACAGTAGGCATATCGGGGCTATCTCGAAGAAGATTTTACAAAGAAAAAGACAGATGGCATTGTTTACATTATGTGCTGAATGCCTCTTGAAACTTTTTTTTTTCTGAAGCAGAATGTGAAATGCGAAGAATTTTACTTAACCAAAAAGACTATCTCAGATGAGTACAGAATAACAGAATAACGAATTAGACCAGTGTTGTCTGAGTGATTTAGGTACCAGACTATAAACATATTCATAACCAAAGAATTACTAATCTTTAAAGGTTTGAAAAATAAATGTGATTCAGGTGATTGTCTGTATTGTCTCTATTGACTTTATTTCTAGTAAAGGTCTGCTTGTAAAGACAGACATTACAGCGTGTAATGATATCCTGATGCAACAGAAATAATGCAGGCTCTAGTTTTAGTGCAGTGGGCCAAATTCATCTCTAAAATATTGAATCCAATGGCGATTTGGGGATAAACTCACCCCAATAAATTTACATTTGAACTACCTACAGGGATTTAAAGCTAAATCAAATGCCCACAATTATTGCAGACTAAATTCTTTCCAGATGGGTTTGTATGCTAGACAGAGAACTCTATTATTCTATGTGGTTGTCTTCTTTTAAAGGAAAAAGAGAGATGACTTCTTAGTGAACCCTGAATCTGCAAAGTTTGAAACCAGGGAACTATGTGGTAGGTTTATTTATTTATTTCTAATGTTGTAATGTTACAGGTAGTATGCTAAAGGTTTTAGAAGATTAATCTCATTCATTGGCACAAGAAGCAAAGGTTTTTATGGCAGAGGGAACGGCCTAACGAGGAAACTTGGATCAGGGAAAGCAACTAATTTCACAAAAGCAGTTCCTTTTGTGCAGCTGGGATTTAATATTCAAAACTGTATACGCTTATCTTGCCTAACCGTGTTGGTGGTTTACGCTATAATCACAACATGCCTACTAATTTTTCATTTTAGAGGTTGAGGCTGTGATTCACATCATGAGCGCAAAGCGTTGAGATTCACACCAGAATTTAGGCACCTGGCCCCCACAGCCTTCAGGTGGACACTCTTCTTTCCGCATACAACACATGCTGCATATAAACCTCCAAACAGACCTACGAAATGCAAAAGGCTGAGCAGGAAACTACCTAAGTGTGCAAAAGCAAACAAAGAAGAACAAGAAGTGGTGTATTTTCTCCACTCACGAAGTGTATCTCAGAGTTATCCCCACTGAGCACTGTTTCTTCCACCTAGAAAACCAAGAGCTGGTCTGCACTCTGGTCTCCCTGATCCTGGACAAGTGACCTAAGTTAAGGTATAATCTTTCCTTCCCTTTGTGTTTCAAAGGAAAGGGGTGGTGGCCTCTGCACCATGCTCAAATATTTCATGCTCAGAGAACACCACCCGGAGATCAAGTCTTCTTGGAGAAGAAAGGGGCTGCAATGCATCTAATCTATGGAAATGTGGAGTTTCCTACATAGGCTGGAAAGAGGAGGCCAACCTCCTCTGCCCTTTAAAGACAGAGGTGCTTTAGGACTTTCTGTAAAGTAGATGTGTAGGAGGAAGCAAAACTTTAACAACAAGATTTAAGTGCCTGTGAAATCTAGTTTAAAATGCAGGAACAAAGCTGGCAATCTGGAAAACAGGTTCTTGCTTATACCCTTTTGTCAACCGGGGGCCAAAAGAACTTAAATCTGAAAATCTTCCTGAAAATTCTCTGTATGGAAGTGTGAACTGTTTAGGATATCCAGAATATGGTGCTCTGTAGAGTGGACCAATAAAATAAATTTTTTAAAGTAAAAAAAAAAAAAAAAAAAAAAGACATTAATTTAAACCTCTGGCTTTATAGTTCTGTATGCAACATCTTCAGATATCTCAGTGTGGTTCAAAGGATTTATGGAAATAATTTTATAAATTACTGAATGATAAATCAATATTTGCAATTTTATGATTCTGCTCAATAAAAAAAAAAAAAGGAAGTGAAAAGTATGGTGGAGTTTTTTTAAAGCTTTCCTTTAGTTTTTTTCAGAGCTGACCCACACTAAACTGGCTGAAGAACAAAGTGACTTCCAGTTACTCAGTGCTCAACTTCTGTACTTCTGTTACTCAGTTTGTGATCAGACACTTGTTATCTAATACTTGGACCTAACAATTTTTACCTTTTAATGCATCTTAGAACTCCACAGTTTCTTCTATTAGCAATAAACTTTGTTTTGAGAGATCACAAGCTGCCAGCTGGATAAAGGAAAGATGTCTTCTTTCTGTCAAATTCTTTTGTGTGGTCTACCAACAATTTTCAGTCTTCCAGACTGCTCTTCAACTCACAGATATCTTGTAAATACCCAGAGGAGGGGAAAAACACACACATAGGCATAATATATTACTATGCTTAAGCTGTGCTATGTGTACAACTGGATAATAGTAGCAGATGACAGGCTGAAGAAGAGCAAGTTAGGGGCTGAAGATGTTTGAGAAAAAGAAGAAGAAACCATGTGCCAAATGGAGAGGAAAAAACTAAGCTCGTATTGGCTAGCACACCCACAGAGAAGGTGCTGAGGCAGGATAACTGTGAGGAGAGGTAATACGGGAAAGGAGCTCAGGCTGATCCCAATGATCTGCATTCTGACAGAAGCACACCTTGAGCTCAGCCCTGTCAGTAAACCTCCGCTTGTTATGAACGAAACACTTCTCTCCTTTGTGCAAGAAATAAAACAGCAAATTTTGACCCAGGAATCAAAGGAAGTGAAGGGTTGGGAGAATTTATCAATTAGCAAGGTTTTAGGGTGCACAGGGAGCATCTTGCCATTCTGCAGGTTCTAACCTCTTGATTGAACACTTCACTCTTGTCCCTGCTGGCAACTGATTCCAAAACTAAACGTCCAGCTAGGGATGCTTTATGTCTTGCAGCTACAAGCTGAGTCTTTGGCCTTGTTTAGTTAACAGTGCCCTGTACGTACAGAGGAATCTCAGAGGATCAAAAGTAGATAGGAAAATCCTGATGTAGCTGACAAATGATTCACTAACACTTTACAGACTAAACCCAAGATCTTGCCATGGATATGAACTGGGAGATGGTAGAAAACAGAGCTGACTTGGGAAGCAGCTGAGGAGCGAGGCCCTGCGTGAGGATGCTCACTTCCTTTTGCTGTCAACCCAGATTACAGAAATTCTCTCGGGAGATGGTAAAGTCCCAGATTACCCTGAGCAGGATCTTTAATCAAGATGAAAGAACAGTGCTTCTTTGTAGGTGGTAGCAGGCATCTCTTTGATGCTTCTTTGTGTCTTTTTTCCGGCTCCTTTTGCTGTTACTCTGCTTCAGCTGTGCATTCACAGCAGCCTGGTGGTCACCATGACCCTGATTCTGAAGCGCGTGACCACGAGCCCTGCTGATATGGAAGAGGCTCACCTGGCCACAGTGCACTGTCAGCACTGATGCTGCTGCATGCCTGCATGCACCTGAAGTTATGGATTTTCCTGGGTTTGGCAGAGAGTGCACCCGTGCATGCACCTGAAGTTATGGATTTTCCTGAGTTTGGCAGAGAGTGCACCAGGGGATGGAGAAGCCTAGCTTCTCCCTTTGGGACGAGGAGGCCAGAGGCAATATATTTGGTTTTGGCAGAAGATGTTAGAAAAGCTAATCTAGAACTAGCTTGCTGGAGCCAGGCCTGGGTTAGTATCCATCTTAGATCTATACCATGGCTCCAAAGAGGATGGAGTTGATGTAATAGGCAGCCACCCATTCCACTGGCAGCCAGGTTCAACCTCCTTTGAAGACAACTTGCAAAAGCCAGACTGCGGTGAGAAAGAGCAGGTGG